CTGTCAGTGCAGAGACTGATTTTTAGCTTGTCAAAAATATACATGTGTGGCTATATATATATATGTATATATTTTCTTACAGTGTGATGAGGGAGGCCTGTATATTAAAACTTACTCTTTATTACCATGCATTTCTTGAAGCTACTCCATTTAAGATTTGGTAATAAGTATTTTGTGTGTGATACGAAATGTATAAGACATGATGTATATTATCAGGTGGTGAAAATTGTGGCCGATTACCGAAACACACTCTACTCGGGAACAATAACACCAGAGTCACCTGAATATGCTGAAGTAAAATCACAGGTGAGTTTTTTCTTTTGTTCTGTCATATTTTTTTTTCTTCTTTTCTGTTTTTATATCTTCATCTTCTCCTCTCCTCCTCCTCCTCCTCCTCCTCCTCTCCTCCTCCTCCTCCTCCTCCTCCTCCTCCTCCTCCTCCTCCCTCCTCCTCCTCCTCCTCCTCCTCCTCCTCCTCCTCTCCTCCTCCCCCCTTCTCCTCCTTCTCCTTCTCCTTCTCCTCCTCCTCCTCCTCCTCCTCCTCCTCCTCCTCCTCCTCCTCCTCCTCCTCCTCCTCCTCCTCTCCTCCTCCTCCTCCTCCTCTTCCTCCTCCCTCCTCCTCTCCTCTCCTCCTCTTCCTCTTCCTCTTCCTCTTCTCCTCCTCCTCCTCCTCCTCCTCCTCCTCCTCCTTCCTCCTCCTCCTCCTCCTCCTCCTCCTCTTCTTCTTCCTCTTCCTCTTCCTCCTTCTCTGCCTCTTCCTCCTCCTCCTCTGCCTCTTCCTCCTCCTCCTCCTCCTCCTCCTGCTCTGCCTCTTCCTCTTCCTCTTCCTCTTCCTCTTCCTCTTCCTCTTCCTCCTCCTCTTCCTCCTCCTCCTCCTCCTCCTCCTCCTCCTCCTCCTCCTCCTCTTCCTCCTCCTCCTGCTCTGCCTCTTCCTCCTGCTCTGCCTCTTCCTCCTCCTCCTTCTGCTCTGCCTCTTCCTCCTCCTCTTCTTCCTCCTCTTTCTCTTCCTATTCCTCCTTCTCTTCCTCCTCCTCCTCCTCCTCCTCCACCTCCTCCTCCTCCTCCTCCTCCTCCTCCTCCTCCTCCTCCTCCTCCTCCTCCTCTGCCTCCTCCTTCTCTTCCTATTCCTCTTTCTCTTCTCTTCCTCTTCCTCCTCCTCCTCCTCCTCCTCCTCCTCCTCTCCTCCTCCTCCTCCTCCTCCTCCTCCTCCTCCTCCTCCTCCTTCCTCCTCTTCCTCCTCCTCTCCTCCTCCTCCTCCTCCTCCTCCTCCTCCTCTTCCTTCTCTGCCTCTTCCTCCTCCTCTTCCTTCTCTGCCTCTTCCTCCTCCTCCTCCTCCTTCTCCTCCTACATAATGTAAATTTGTGAGAAAAAAAAATTGGTATTAGCAAACAAGCATTTTTGCGTTTTATAGAGTACAAACTTTATTGGAGTGATGAGTTATTAACAACGAGAAACATTGTAATGGGCAAGAAAACATTAACTGGAAATAAAATGTATGGTCACATCTGTCAGTCAGTTAAGTCACGTATATCTCCAATAAAGTAGTCCTAAGTAGGTACTTACAAACATATGATTAAGCTGCTTTAGGTGTCTTCCAATGCAGGAAATCTCTCTGGTTTCATATGCTAAACCCTGCATTTCTTTTGTTCTTTCAGACACATTTGCGTGCAGCTAACCGGTTGCTGGATCTTTGTTGTGCTAATGGTGGAGCTTTTGTGAAGGTATTGTATTTTAGAAATGTTTTTCCTTATCTTTGATTGTTGATTTTTACAAAGGAAATATTTGTTGAAATATTTTTAAACTGGTGTGATAGTTTTTTATTCTTTTAGAATATTTCTTTTTATCTGTAAGTAGTACAAATAGCTAAATAGCAAGGTGAATATGTATTGTTAACTCATTGGATCTGGATGTTTGACTGCCATCACATGGCCCAAATACAGGCATTAAGCTTACAGGGGCTTGTAGGTCAGGCGGACATGAACACTCATGTGCGGTTACAAAACTCCATGCCTTCCCTTTGTAAAGTTATTTTCTGTTTTTCATCTTAACTGTTTTTAGCCTTTTTTGAAAATTTTCACTGTATATAGTTGTCATTTGATTTGTTTATCCAGATGGTAATTGACTGTTATCCTTGCAAAGACTCCATATCATCTCTCTGTGTAGTCCATAACTCAGTGCAGTGATAATAAGAATAAGTAACATTTAGTTATTTCTGTTTTCAATTTTTTTTTCAAAATTTTCAATATTCTGTAATACATGGCTGCTAGGAATAGGTCCCTGAGCATTGAAATAGCATCCTCTTTGGACCCAGCACTCTTTCATTAATGGCCAACACTCATTTATTATTCCTAAACACCAAATGACTTCAATCATCTTCAAGAGCGATGTGCAATTGTGGCAAGTCATTCCCGTCATCTTGGCCTTCAGCTGAAATGTTCACGATGGGGAGTTTGCCTCACCCAGCCACTCAAGCCAGATTTTTTCATGGCTTGATTGTCATTTGGATCATAGGGGTTAACACTGAAGTATAAAGTATTGAAATTTTGGTGGATAGCTTGTTATACAAAAAAAAAGGATAGCTTATTATAAAAAGACACAATGCACTACTATGAGATTTTCCACAGAAATTATTACAGGAAAATATAACAGAACTAGCAGGACTTGCTTACTTTACCTAACTATTTTACCGTAGAGATTACTAAGTTTGATTCCAGCATTGATGATGAAGCTTGTTGTTATCATTTATTACAGGTGGGTCAACATATTGGTTCACTAGAGTATCTGCTGCCAACAGAATATGTGGAGACAATGAAAGTCCTTCACTCTAGTGCTCCAAAGTCACCACTTGAAAATGTCTATCAAGTTTTACGGGAAGAATTAAAATGTGAGGTAGGTTTTTTAATACTCTTTTTTATTTCATATACGTTTTATCAGTCATATGTCCAAGATTGTATGTTGTGTTGATTACTTTTAACCCTTTTTATTTCTCGTTGCAGCCTAAAGAATTATTTGTTGAATTTGACCCCAACCCCTTAGGAGCAGCTTCCCTGGCCCAAGTTCACAGAGCGAAGTTAACCGATGGAGGGAAGTAGCTGTTAAAGTGCAACACCCAAGTGTCAAGGCACATGCTGATATTGACATGAAGGGAATGGAGGTCAGTTCTTACAAGATATGGCTGAGACATTGTCTTTATATGTAGAGTAGATACCATGTCTTTATAAAGGGACTTGTATGATTGGATGTTCAATTTGGATATTTTTTACATTTTATGATATGTGAGAGATTTAAAGTTATAAGTGCTCTGGAGATTTATTTCTTTAAGCACACAAGATTCTTCTCTGATATCATGAAAATTTGCTACTTTAGTAGTTATTGTGCAGTTCAGTAATCGTGTTACATCTATAGTCAGTAATATTATTATTGTTTTTAGTAGATTTTATTTTTATTTTTATGTATATGGGATATATTTCTTTACACTATATACACATAACTGATCAACCAGGTGATTAATAAATCAGTTGTGCTTTTCAGTTACTTGTCAATGTAGTTGCCCAAATCTTCCCTGACTTCAGTTTTAAGTGGCTGGTGGAAGAAATGAAGAAGAATTTGCCCAAAGAGCTTGACTTCTGTTATGAAGCAAGAAATGCTGAGGAAGTAGCCAGACAATTTTATCACTTCCCATGGCTGAAGGTAGGTAAGAAAATAAGATGTACAGATAGGTAATCCAGATTAGTCACCCTTAATTATTATTGTGACGGAAATTTGGTTGATTGATGGATAGAAACATATTTCATAATATACAAGGATATGTTTTGCTTGGAATAGTCTGTTTTTTTAAGGCAGATATATTGTTATTTTATGGTAAATGATGTGTTTATTTAACAGATTCCTAGTATAGACTGGAACTTAACAACATCACGAGTTCTGGTTATGGAGTTCTGTCAAGGGGGTCAAGTCAATGACCGTAATTACATGACAGAGCACGGCATCAATACCAGAGAAGTCTCAGAAAAGATCAGCAAACTGTACTCTGAAATGATCTTTGTAAATGGTTACGTACACTGCGACCCTCATCCTGGCAATGTGCTGGTGAAGAAAAATGGAAACTCAGCGGAAATTGTTCTCCTGGATCATGGTCTTTATACAGTAAGTTTGTTGAATGACCATCTGATCTTAAAAGAAAAATGGGCTAGTTGTTTTTTCAAGATTTTTTTTTTTTTTTTATCTGTTTAGTTTTTATTTTTTTTAAGACTTGATGTTGACGGAAAACTCGACTTCTTTAAATTGTTGATTGGCAAAATGTAAACAGAGTCTGGTTAAATCATGTTTACTCTTTCATTCTTTATTTTTGTAAGTATATATAAACAAGTTGTATGATTAAGATTTACTACTAGATGTGATATTAGATATATAATCCTTTAACAGGGAATTTTGATGTTTTAATGGCTGGATTTTAGAATCAGAAATATGGATGTCATTATGCTCTTCATCATTAAGCTAGATGTTGTGATTATAAGGTAACATTTAATTAGTCATATTATAAACAAGTAATTGCTTTTATTTCAGAATTTAACCAATGACTTTAGAGTAACATACAGTAAATTCTGGTTAAGCATTTTGAATGCAGACCTGAAGGAAGTACAAAAATACGGAGAGCAACTTGGTGTCGGAGAACTGTTTGGGTTGTTCGCTGCATGGTCACTGCTCGCTCATGGGACTCTATATCCAGAGGGATTGACAAAAAGGAGAGGTCTTCAGATGAGGTAAGCAGTAATACAATGATTGTTACTAGTTGATGTATCTGTATGTTGGATGTTTTTCCCTTTATTTTATTTGAAATTGAAGTAGCTTGCATGTCATTGTTATGAAATTTCTCATATGGCAGATGATTAAAAGAAGGCATTGATTGTTTTGGTTCTTGGTCGGTACAAGAGATAATCAGGTAGTTAAAAAAATTACAGGAGACAATTTGTGAAAAGTTTTTTTCTTTTCAAATAAATTTTATGAGTAGTGGAACTTATATGAAATATGTATAATGTTGTGCTTGATATATACACTCATTATTTTGCTGACCTTGTGTAGAGAACATTATATCATATATTACTAGCAAGACCCATGTATTATTATTTAAATTTCCAATAGCAAGCCCTTGGCTGTCAGATGCAGGGCATTTGAGAATGAGGAATTTGCATACACATTAGTTGCACTGCACAGTATTGCTTTGATTTAGCAAAATTTAATGAGGATTCTGCACTAAGAGCAAATGCATTTCAAAACAATAATAATTGCTTAAGAGATTAGTTCAATAGCTTTACCAAAACTGCCTCAAAACATGCATTCATGATCCAAGAATAATGCAGTGCATTGTAGCTGTCTCATGAATGTGTTTTCCGGTACTTTTCAATATTTACACACCTTTCTCTTGTAAGACATTTATTTTCTGATTTTAAGCTAGGGTATACCCTAGGGTATTCTAAGACATGTCTTCAAAACTTGCATGATTGCTAAAATCTCTATTTTTTGCCATGTATTACCCATAGATAAAGCAAGTTATTAATAGGGATACCAGTGTTGCAGAAGCTAAAGAATAGTAGTTAAAGATCATGTTTTTTATTGACCTCATTCTCTTTTCTTTCCACAGCAAGATGAGATTAAGGCAGATGCAGCTAAATACTTGCCAGAAATATCAGCCGTGTTGAATCGAGTCCCACGACAGATGCTGCTCATCTTCAAGACAAATGATTTACTAAGGGGCATTGAATTTTCCCTCAATACTCAAGAAAGGTAGGATGCTTCCATTGTGCTTTAATGAAATACAGTAATGCCATCCACTATATAGCTGTGTTAAAATTTGTATGCAATATATGTATATATATTTTTTTAAAAACTATTGCAATGTGTGAATTTGTTGGGATATTGGTTATAAATAAATATTCTCTCCCAATGTAAAATTTGAAAATCAAATGGAGTTTGTGTTTTTATTTATTTATTTATGCCAGTTGTAGATGATTGCCTATTTTGTAGTAGATGTATCTGTTGTTGTTTTTGTCCAGGGGTACATTTACTGTGAAATTTGTTGCACACAGATGACTCCACAAGTGTTCAGCCACCAACAAGCCAATTAACAGACCCCTGCATGAGCTCACGTGATATTCCCTTTCCTTGAATATTTAATTTTTTTTAATGCAAGTAATATCAATATTTTTATTATATTGTTGTCATTATATTATTTTGTTATTAAAATACTCATCAGGCTTAAAAAGAATAGAAAAAATCTTTCCATACATCAAGGAAAAAGGTAAACGTGAGATAGACAGGGACTGGTGTTTGACTCTATGGTGATAACATACTTTTTGAGACATCTGTGTAATCTTGATTGATAAACTAAAATCACAGTGGCCGATGTCATGTATGTGACTCTATTTCAACACAAGGGATTAATAATGGCTTCTCAAAATTCATGTTAAGTTAATTTCAGGAGTGGTCCCCCTGGGTGTAAATATATAAGTAAGAGATACGACCACATTCGGTGCAATAGCCGTTTTCCAATTAGTGTAACTGAAGTCCTTGTTTTGTTTTTTTACAGCATGACATCATTCATAACCATGTCACGTTGCTGCATCAGGTCACTCTTCGAACAGCAGAGACTATCATGCAAGTCCTTCCTATGCAAGAGTAAAATCACCATTGCGGAGACTTGGGCCCAATTTCGGATCTCGGTGTACACTATTTATTTATGGTACTTGCATTCAAGACTTGGTAAATATCTTCATAATGTGTAAGTGGGTTGTACATTGATTGATAATGTATACTCCGGTCATCATTGTTATTGCTGCGTAGATATTTTATTACTGCTCAAAAATTATGTCTGTTGGTTTGGTTTTAAGTATTTTTTAGTATTTTTTAGTATTTATTTATAAAAGCAAATGGTGCATTTATAGTTTTATGTATGTACAGATCTTTATATATATATATATGCTGTAATATATTGGTCTGAATTAAAGTAATAATGTTGGTAGAACTGTTTTCTGTATCATTTGTGAAGAGAAATATATATTTTATGTATACTGAATTACACCGCTAAATTACCATATTAAGTATGATTACAACTAGTGAATTGGTTCCATTACAAATAATCTTAATTAACTGAGAGCAACACAAGTAATAATTTTGTCATTTAATCTCAAAGCAGAGGTTAAGCCATCCACAAGTAGAAAAAAAAGTAATAAATAAAAGTTATTGGATGTTATTTACCGAATCACATAATGTTGGTATCATAAAAATATCCAGAATTTAGTTGTTGATTTTTGCTTCTTCGATCATCTATATCTACCAATTTTTGGTTATTTAATGAAAATTTTCTGCCACGTCAACATGTAAGGGCATTAGCGGCATATTCAAAATATAAGTAAAGGGTGACACATGTGGTTAAGCCCCTGTATAAGGAAGTTTTTTTGGTTCATAAGGTGATGTTTGTGGAGTCCAGAATGGTTAAAGGTCAAAACAAATAACTATGCCAGATATCAAAGCACTATGATAAAAGTGTTGTGGCAAAGGGAGTAAAAATGAATAAATGAATTAGGACAAAATATGTAGATATCAAAAGTTGTAGTGCGCACTAGGTAAGTATGCTAGTGAAATGGGTAAAGAGGGAAGAGCTAATAGAGTACGAAGGCAGTTCAGGACTGATCTAGCCTCTCCTTTCAGCATGGCTCACGATGCAAAATTAATTGTGGTGAAGTCTTGAATCCAAGGTTGGGGGTAATCCCCTATATTGAGCCCGTCTCTTGACTCCTGAGCTCCCTCCACCCCACAACGAGTAAAGAATTGGGGAATTTTTGATTAAGAGATACTGTTGAAAATAATCTGACTGCATGAAGGAGAGTTAATCACAACAGCAACTTCCTATACACAATTTTAATAGTTTTTTTCCCCCAAACAATTGGCAGATGACTAATTAAGCAGTTATTATTTGCTTGAAGTTGTGTCTAGAATTAGTAAGAAAAAAAAGATCAATGGATAAGCATAATAATACATATAGGTATAGGAGAATTATATATTGCAAAAATAAAGATCACAGAAATGAGATATCAATGTGAAATATATACACAATATTTTTGTGTGTATTCATTGGCAAAGAATACTGCTCCAAAGAGCCTAAGTGAGTAATTTAAAATGAAATCAGGGAAAACATGCTGCATTTGCTCAAGTTTGTTTGAATGTTCACCTTAAACTAAATGTGAAAATGATACAAATCATATGTATAATGATCATGTACACATGCATACAATTTTGCATAAATTTAGAAAGGTATCTTGCACATATATCAACCAGGTCAATATTTCAATTGCAGCATTTTTTTCCCCCCTTTTGGAAACATTTCTTTCTATAGGCAAAAACAAAGTTGTGTGTTCGTACAGCATATATCACCATGTAATTCCCATGTAAACAAGGTGTATATAAGTTTTATTTTCCTCATTTGCCAAAATTATCTACCAAGTCAGTTAATTACATGAACTACTGAAAAATTGAGGAATATGCCTTGAAAAAATAGTTGGGACTTTTCCTGAGTATGCAGATCCAGAAAAGGGAAAGATACTAGATAACTATTAAACCCAATACTCTGAAAGCTGTGCCAAACAATTAAATTTTACTTCTCCAATAGCTATCAATTATCAAATCAAGATATAGGAGATCAACTTTAGATTAATGTATCATGCATCAAATTCTAAATCACTTTTTTCTAAGTCATATACAAATGAAGTGTTCCTTCTGTACTGACCTGTCTATCTAGGCCGTTTAAATGTGTGGAGCACAAGGGCTTTAGTCAAATTAATAGACCTGCCTAATGTGAACCAATTAACCTTCACTCCCCCCCTTTTTTTAATCATTAGCATTGCTAATATTTAAAGTCAAAAATCAAAATTCAAGAAACAAGGCATTAAACATGTACCCAGATTGAGATCTACGTAAATCTTGTAACTTAACACCCCAAATTGATTTAACTTTAAATCTGCTGTATCACCCAAATTTTAGCACCATAAAGTAAATTTACTTGGAGCAGGTTCATACAGTTGTGAAAGAACAAATCTGCCAAGTGCAAGAAAAGCTTAGGGGATACTGTCAACTACATTTAATGTAAAGCAAGACCTTAAGGCATATACATGTCAAACTTGTAGCTTGAGATGTTAAGTACTTACAAAAGCCACATTTAGTATATTGCAAGGTATACAAGTTGTTAAACAAGGTAGGTTATAGCAAGTTTTAGGGTTTTCTCCATACAAGTTCTATACAACAAGCAATAATCAGTTATTCTGCAACTTGTTCCATTTTATACAAAACTTTGCAAAGGGTAGTCAAGATACAGCAGTGACTCCTTTCATCAATAGAAATTGTAAGGATTACTTGTATATTGGTCAAGGGAAACTTCCTTTTCAGGTAAGTGAGAATTTCAAAATGCATTTCAATTTCTTGCAAGTCACCTGTACTTTAAAAATTAAAAAGGACATATTTAATAAAAAAGCACACCCTTTTTCCTTTTATTGGAAAAGTCACTGGTATATTCATACACTGCACAAGGACCTTTGTCATCATTTACACTCACACAACACACGGCCACGGGAAGCATTGTGCCAAGTACAGGGAGATAGTTGGTGGAAGACATTGAAGCTATCAAGGCTTGGGTCAAAATTAAACAATAATAATAACTTGACAAGCATCAATGTCATCCACACACCTGCATAGCCTTGGATGAAGTTGTTACATATACTAATTTAGAGCATTTCTTGTTAATCAACAGATTTGTACCATTCCCTATTCCAGTCACAAATATTAGAATGCCCCAAGTACAAAAAATATATCTTAATGATTAGGAATGTCTGTAGTCAAAAAATAAAAAACTTTTTTCAGATCACTTTGAACCAAATTGACTGAACACTACAGAAGTACACTGATGTTAATACTCGATATCAAGTACGGAATTTTTTTATAGCACTGATCCCAGCAATCCAGACAGACTACTTTCCCTTATTCGATTGATTTTTCCATGGGATCCAAGAAAATTTAAATCCATTCCCAGTAGTCATACTGCTAGGACCAAAAGCAATTTGTCTCTCGTAAAACAACTTTCAACATTTTTAAAGTTCATCCTTTGCTGGCACATCACCATCCTCGTCAGTCTCCTCATCATCCTGAAAGTTGACAATATAAAATTAAATATTTGAAACCCACATTCCACTACATTATATCAATATTTCATGAATTTTCAAAAACTTGCAAAGCAATTTCATTTGGGGCAAAAAGCAAGGGTTCAAAATAAGTGCAGGAAAGCTCCGAGGAAGAAAAGTCTTAATATCCTTTGATACAGTTCCATTCATGGTAATCTACAGTATGGGTCTTGGTAAAGAAATCTAAACAGTCCTGGAATGGCAACTATACCACAGATCATGCAAAAGAATTTATAGAAAGATGCTATGTCAAAGTACCTGATCATCCACAGATTTGCCTCAAGGAAATCACTGAGGGCCTCCAAAGTCCGTGCTCCATTGTAATCTACAACCTATAAAAAGGGGCAAGGAGTGTTAAGTCTGCATGAAAGTCAGCAAAAGTTACTTCTAAAAACGACACCAAACATAAGAATCGTAGTGCTTGGCATCAACTGCCCAATCTGCACAAGATGGGTCAAAATGTTAGGTTTCGTTAAAGGAGTAAAGTGCGGCAGGTGATGCTGTAGCTACAAAACAGCCCTCGGAATGCATTTTGGCTTTTGCATCAATTCCTACCTCATCCTCAGGTGGCGCTTGGCCATAACCCCATCAGTTTCAAAAATTTGGACATTCCAGCCAATGTGCGTTCTCCATTGTATTCAACAACCTAAATAAATGGCCATTAAATATTAAACTTGTATAATGATAAATCCTGCAAATAGGAACATGCTTTTTAAGACATTTACTGATAAAGTACTGCCAGTGTGAATCATGAAACTAATCTTAGTGATATCAAAATTTCCATTTTTAATCACTTCCATCAACTCCATATAAAATGTTTTAGCATTTCCCAAAAGCAGGATTACTCTATAGCACAAGTAGGGCATTTCAAATTACCTGGAATTCAAAACCAAGAAATATATATTTCATATTCCAAGGTTCCACAATTTTCATAAAAATTAAATCTTTCATACATTGAGACGTCAATCTTACCTCATTAGTTTCCTTCTTGTAAAGTTTTAATGTAGGGAAGGACTGAATCTCGTATGCTCAAGCTCATTGACTGTAGCATCCATTTTCGCCACAACAATAGTGTCGTGTCCTTGTATTTTTCACCTAGCTGGTCATAGATAGGTGCCAACTGTTTGCAGTGTCCACACCATGGTGCATAGAACTCTACAAGGACGTCTTTCTTCTTGTTCAAGGCAACCTCATCGAAGTTGGAGGATACCAAAACCTGAAATAGTGTAATTACATTATATTTCCTATTTCATCTGACTAATGAAAATTCTTCTGGACATCTATATTGAGAAAGTACATAGTACTGATATATCCTGAAATCCTTTCTAGTAAACTACACACCCTTCCTGCATTCCATTCTCATAGCACAATAGTGCTGTCATGATATTAAAGGCACAAATATCTACATTAATCATTTGTTCACACTATTTCAAACCTATTACTTTTAATACTGAAAGCATAATCCCACTCCATATTTCAAAATCTTGTATACACTTTGAAAAACTTACCTTGACTGGCTCTTATCCCAGTCTTCTGGAAGATCCTGAGACAGAAGGTGCTGCTTCAGCTTTCCATCAAGGAAAACTCTGGACAAAGCCGACAAGCCCACTCTCACTGAGGTCATAAGCGTCGGCTTGTACTTGGCCATATCTTCCTCTAGCTTGATAATACGGAGGCCTGGGATCTGGAAAACCATGTTGATTAATATACTGCTTATTTTTGCATATCAAAAATAGTGCTACACCTATAAAATAACCCCCTCTATCAGTGAGAAGGAATGTTTTCAGACAAATTGATATTACAATATAGCACTAACTCAAACACAAACATACTAATACAAGATACTCACCTCATCCTTCTTCATGCCGAAGAACTCGAGGATACGAGAGTGATCCTCCTCATCTGTGTTAATGGTCACAAAGAGAACTTCTCCCTTGAAGCCCTTAGCAGCTGCAGTGGCAGCACTCAGGTGTGTATCATAATGTCCAGCTTCCTTTGACAGGAAGATAAGGAGATGTGACTTGATATCGCCACCGAAGATCTTTGATGCAGTTTCATGGTTGAAGTCCACAACAAGGGGTAGAGAGTTAGCAGCAACAAACTTGGATACACCATCCTCAGTCACCTCACCCTCATATACATTCTTGCCTTCATCAAAGTCCTTGAAGAGGACAATACCATCAGCACTCAGGCCATACTCAGTGAACAAAGCTTCCTCTGAGGTAATTCCAAATGGATGGTCATCAGTGGCCGATGCAGCAGCCAAGAACTGCT